ACGCCAAGAAACTTGCTCACGGATTTAAAGTCGCCTGTTGCATTTGGATAGAAGGTCATCCGTCCTTCTATCTTTCCATACTTTGTTGGCACAGTTATCGACAAAACGGTAATGAGAGGTAGAGATGAACAAAATATTAACCAAGTTACAAATAAAAACGTTACCATTTTCCTGAGAAGATATTCTTCCAAATATATCTCGTCTAATCTGGGGCTTCAAGTAGTTGCTCCCAGTACTTTAATCAAACCCTATCGATTGCGTGATCACGTGGCTATCCTAACAACAGCACATAGGGGACTGTCACGGGTGTCTTTCTTTTCGTATCGATGGTCAAGAGTTCCAAGTCGAGGGCGAAGGTTCCAGGTCGAGGGACGAGGATAACAGTTTTTCCACAGTTTTCCCCCATTTTCTTAAGTCTATAGTATTTAAAGCAATTTTAAAAAATTTTTACCGTGTTGCATCTTTCAACGACGCGCGACACCGCCCCGGAAGTTAGGGGCTGGGGGTACATAGCTTTTGATACTTGAATAGCACGCGAACAAAAAACTGTAGAACCTACAAAAACCCATATGTTATCAAAAATCTGGTTTGATTTACCTAATACGCGCTAGAAATATGAGAGAAAGCAAGGTTGAATAAAGGAGAACATTTGTTTCCTTTAATTCCGAATCCGCTGCCGCCATCATTTCAAGCAACTAAATTACGTAATTAAAAAATTGCTAGAGCACCGGCGAAGCGTCAGTCAGACATTTAGACCGAGAGCAAGAATGTTGAGAGCTGAGAGCACGTCTGATATCGATGATTTTAGATTGGAAGAAGTCGATCGCCAAAACTGTCAGCCAAGTGTTCAAGAGACTGAGTCATGTGTCGGTAGAGTTGGAGAAGACTTTACGCTGAACATACCGTGAACGAGCCTGAGAAGCTGATTTATATTAGATGAACTAAATTTCTCTTTCAAGTAACTGGTTTTCCAAACCTCCAACAAGCGATTATAATTGCGGCAGGCTTGATAGTAAATTTGCTTACCAATTGATAACTAAGTGCATTGAAATTTAGCGCCTTTTAACAGGCTTTAATTCTCGAAGATCGTCTGAGAACCAAGGCGCATATGGCCTTAGGGTTCTATTCCTTGTTTGTTTTGTGGCGTACATGTCAAGTAGAAGTCGCAATGTATTATCATACGAGGTTATCTTGTCTTCCAAGTCTTCCATCAACCAACTCTTTAAAGAAGACACGGCAGATGTCCTTCCCAAAAGCATCAAGATCGATGTCCCAAGTCTTCCGATGCGAAACAGTTATGGGTACAGGCCGCGGTAAATTTATGAAGCACCGAACCGCTTGATGGTCAGAGAGAGGATCTGGTAAAATTCTTGTATGAGAAATTTGTATAGTATCCATTTCGCGAGTGATGAGGAGACCCAATGTGTGTCCCAGACGATGGGGTAGGGCCATTAACATGCTGTTTTAGATCAGCAGGAACAAGGTCGTGGAATTGTTTGGCTTGCGTTTGTATTGTCATCGACGTGAAGTTTGAAATCACCACAAAGAAGAAATTGACTGGATGTAGAATTCAACTCCTCTAAGAACACAGAGAATTCTGATAAACACCTTTCTACCGTAAAACCATTTTCCTTGGACGCTGGAGGTCGATACACTGCCACAAGGCGAAAAACCTTGTTACCAGAAGTACAGGTAAATCAAAATGTTCAAACGTAGAGAAAATGCAGCTTTCATTCCGGGTAACACGAAACCCTTTGCGTGCGATAACAGCGAGTCCACCTCCTCTGGAAGTAGATCTTGCAACAAGTGATAAACAGCGTTATCTTTAATAATAGAGGTAACAGGTGCAAAAAATATGTGAACATTTTTCCGGGACCAAATTTTGTGTCCCGTGAATGGAGGTGTCCGAAAGGAGCTAGAGATTCCACTGCAACAGCAAATCAGTTTTTTTTTTCCATAATTGTCGTATTTTTAGTTTATAAGGAGTACGCAAATGGTCCGAAGGACCAATTGTACAGCGTCGTTGATCAACTGTAGGTCCATATAGCTTTTTGCCAACCGATTGTGCGGTTGGCTGATGTTACGAGCTACCCTGTTTTAGTAAAGATGTCAGCAGTTCAGTTATCTTGCTGCTAACACATCAGTGCAACTAAGTTCTAAGTTATTTTGATACCAAAGGCAGTCATGAATAGTGCATGGTTTTTCCCATACACGTAAAGCATATCGTCAGTTCCCAAAATTTTTGAAGGGACAAATAGAGTTTAAAATTAAGGCGGTCGGTTATAAAATCAAGTGTAAAAGTTATTGAAACAGAACTCTTTGCATTTACGTCATACAGTAGCTTCTGTATATTTAGCATTTCTTGTTTCAGCGAGTTTATGCAGTCTGCCTCTGAGTGGGTTCCAGAAAGGTTAAAAGCTGTAAGCACAGAGAACCACAAAAGCGTGGAAAACGATGGCATAAGTATAAGAGAATGCGAATCATGTTGTCATAATTCCGTGTTGCAAACTCGATCAAGTGGGTAAAGGTAGGAGTTGAAGATCGGGCTTCCAGGTCTTCATTGCGTCACCATGCCTTATTGATTGATTGATATGGCAGAGATTCGAATCCGCTTTACTTTATCCTACCTAAGTCTAAGCCTTTCCTCCAATGCCACGTCCATAAGAATGTACTCCAGTTAATAGTCTTAGTTTAAACGAAGTTTCCTTTCTCCAAAAGAGTTTGTCATTTTCACTGACGGAAGTCGACCGTCCCGTAAGGTCTATTACAATGTTTTTCCCTTGCTCATAAACACTGCCAAACTTATTGCGGGCGCCTTAGAATTTATGTACACCCCGTGACCTAATGAACGACGGCAAAAATACACCCTAAGAAGGCAACGAGCAGACCTCATTGGTGAATATCCCATTGTGGCGCCATGAGATTACCGATATCCACAGCTAGGTTGCTCCTGTGAATCTGTACGAGTTCGCCCACCATCCCATACATGATACTTCGGCAAAGTGGCTGGGTGTGGTCCATGGGGCCAACTACCCATATGATTTTGGAATTTCACTTTTATCAGGTCCTTCCATACAATGCTGCTGCTCTTTCTTAGCCGTTAAATGGAAAACAGAAAATACGGTTAATACGGTCATCAAGGGGCCAAAACATTTTGGCCGTGGTAACGGGTGACCGTATTAACGGGAGTTTATTTGCATGAAAAAGTATGGTCGTTTAGCCGAGCGGCCAAAAAAAAGAGGCCGTAATAACGAGGTGGCCGTAAGGCGGGGTTCCACTGTAATTTTTAGTCGTTATTGTATCTCTTTCTTATATACTACTATAACTTTAAAAACTTATTAGTGATCAAAACAACAGTATTCTCTAGTATCGCTGATGACTTAAGTGTATGACTATCTAAGAATGTTAGAATTATTTAGCGGTTACCGATGACATTAAGCCTTAAATGATATGCATAGTTTCACAATGGAGTCAAATCAGCTCGTAAAGTTCAACCGCCACAGGAGCTTTAGGGTTAAGGTAAAGCCTTCCTTTTTTAAAATGAATTTCTGGTGCAAAACTCGTTCATGGCCGATGACGTTCCTTTGGCATCTCATAAGAGACTTCTTTTTATATTGGCCCTGGCTTTAATTTTACCCAAGCAATAAATATAACTTTTTCTACCTGACAATTCTTCTTTGCTGTATAATTGTATATTCACTTATTAAACTTGTCTCTTTTGTTACAATGATTATTAGGGAACGTGATTAACATCACAACTACAAATTGTACCTTAAAAGTATGACTTCATACTGGTACATATCTGATTAGTATGCGCCTCGAGAGATTTTTATATTTGCCTGGGTGCGGTGTGTATTGTATGTTTTTTCCTTCTTGTACCTTTTAACCTCAACAAGTAATTTTTTTTTAGAAATGAAACGCAACTTCTGCGGGCTATTGATTGAGAGATGACGGCATAATACTATTTCACTACCTGACTCCTCTCGTTAAATTATCCCGTAACGATTTTTAATTTTTTTTTCTGCACGTACGAGTACCGTTTATTAACTGGCCAATATCAAACTAGAAATAAGCCTGCCTACAGACATCTCCTCATTTTCTTTGTTACACGGGGAAACAGAAGACCTCTGCACCCAGTCTTCCCAGAAACGAACATATTACCTAGTTACAAACATGACCTTGCAATTATTAGAAATCTTCAGATTAAGTAACACTGGCTTAATTTGCAACGTGATGTACAAAACCATGCCCTGACGTGGCCTCTCGTGAATTTCATCACGAGTAAGTTGAGAGTCATGGTGTGCATTCAAGGGGGAACAAGTGATGATATAAGCCTCTCAGCGTAGTGAAGGTGGAGCACGTAAGCACGCACCCGTGCTAGTAACACAGGCAAGTCTACAAACTTTGCTAGTTACTGGTGAAGGGAAGTCTATCTGAAATGAATCATGGCGATCCAACACGCATCACTATTCCTGTTGTGTCCATTTGTTTCTGTGGTCGCGTCGATCAGTGTGTTGAGAGTGTCAACAACTTATGGAGAGATCGAAGGTCTGACCATGCCTTCTTACCCAAGTGTTTCCACGCAATTTAAATCTGTCAGCAAGTTTCTAGGCGTTCCTTTCGCTGCTCCACCGATTGGAACACTTAGACTAAAACCTCCACAGCCACCAAATTCGTGGGAGCCGAATATTCGTCAAACTAAAACCCATGGAAATATCTGCTGGCAGGACACAACCTTTGAATTTATCTTCAACCCTTACGGAAGAAATTACACGGTGAGTGAGGATTGCCTGTATCTTGACGTCTACACTCCAAACATCAGCTTGAGTTTACCAGTGATGGTTTACATTCACGGCGGAGGCTATGGATCAGGTGCAGCGACTGGGTATCCTAGCGAGGTATTGGCTCTTCAGGGAGTGGTGGTCGTTGTGATTCAGTATCGCCTGGGTCCATTTGGGTTCCTGACGACTGGAGACTCAGCCGCACCTGGAAACTTTGGAATGCTGGATCAGGTGGAAGCGCTAAAGTGGGTCAAGGACAATATCGACAACTTTGGGGGTAACGCTAACAAGGTGACTATTTTTGGAGAAAGTGCTGGTGGATCGAGCGTGACGCTTCACTTGTTATCGCCTTTGTCCGATGGCCTCTTTCATCAGGTCATTGCGGAGAGTGGCGTCGACGTGAGCCCCTGGGCAACACAGTCCGTTTCATTTGGGGTTGGCTTCGCTAAAGAACTTGCTCAAAAACTGAACTGTCCAACGGAAAACCACGAAGAAATGGTGGGTTGTATACGCAAGAAGGACGCTGTAGACGTACAGAGAGCTTCTACTTCATCCAACTATCGTTTGGTTGATTATCTTCAGTGGGCACCTGTTGTAGACAAAAACTTTCTCCATGACACACCTCAGAATTTGCGAAAAAAGGGAAGTTTCAAGAAAGCACCGCTCATGATAAGTTTTAATAGTAATGAGGCTGGAATCATTCTTGGTGGCATGGCCAACTCTTTGAAGTTGATGGATAGTGTAGAACAAGGAGTCAACTCTTCCTTTTTCTACACTTTTTTATCAAGGCTTGCGCATGCTCGTAACTTGGGCTACTCGTAAGTATATTGCTTTTTTATTATCCGAGTAAGTTTTTTCTTTTTTATCATACATATTTGATGAATTAGAAGTCACATAGACTTTCTACAAAACTACTTTTTTGAACGCAGAACTGAAGTTGCGAAAACGAGGGATGAAAGTTAAAACGGACCCTTACAAAGTCTAAAATTCACAAAGCCTCCTTCTTTTTCTCTCCCAAAGTTTGAGCCTCTTCCTTAAGAAACATTGGATTGTCAAGGCGCCAGTGTATATGTCAAAATTCAACCGAAATTCGTGAGCACTTTGTTTCATAATCTGCCCGTTGTAAATGAAAGTAGATAAGAGACAATGATGCTTTGCTAAACTTATCGAGATAAATTCTGACCAAATCAACGTTATTGTTGTTACTGTTATAGTTTTTCTTAAGATTCATAAAAAAAAGATTTCACTAATTTATTCCTTAGAGAGAAGACCGCTGACGTTATCGCAGACGCTTTGAAGTTCATGTACACCCCATGGCCGGATAACAATGATAGATATGCGCTGAGAAACCAACTTGTCAACGTCATCAGTGATTACTTCTACTTCGCACCGAGTCACGAAGTCGCCGATATTCACAGCCGATATGCTTCAGTGTACATGTACGAGTTCGCTCATGATACGAAGGTCACTATTGGAGCTCCGTGGATGGGTGTGGTCCATCTTGACAATGTTCCTTTTGACTTTGGTATACCACTATCACCAGACGGTTTCCGATATGACGCAGCTGATAGGAATGTCAGTCTGTTTATTATGGCCGTCTACGTAAACTTTGCTCGGACTGGTGATCCAACACCACAGCCGGTCAATGGTGTTACTTGGAGTGGCTACAACTCAAGCCACAGGGCTTACCTGCGAGTTGACCCAAATCCCAAGATGGCTTCAACGTTTTACCCGCTGCGTATGGCCTTCTGGAATCATTATCATCCTAAACTGGTGCAGCTGAAGTTCGAACCCAGGATAGTGGTCACTTTTACGGCAAACGGCGAGCGTCAATTTGTGCCATTTGACCAAGTTTTTCCTTGACTTGTGGTTTACTGTTCATTACTTAGCCTGTGTACAGACCCCTCACCCCTCCCCTCAGTAAAAAAAAAATCGATTTTTCTAAGGGGAGGGGAGGTCTCTCCACAGGCTATTCATTACTTTTACCATAAAATAAGTAAATTCACGTTAGTTTTGTCTATAATGACTGTTTTACCTTTTAGCGTCTCCCTAAATCTCTCTAACTTTTGGCAGCTTTGTCGATTTAAAATAGGCACGGTGTTCCTCACACTAACACTGGAAAAAGTGGACCTTTTACAGAGATAACAAGATACGTCTATAATTTTTAAACTTACAGACTTTTTATAAAGGTGGAAATTTTCCTCTCTTTCTCACAGGGAAAACAAAATGTCTGTAAAATCATTTTTGCAGACATTTCATGAAGCTGTTTTAAATATTATATAGAGAATGATTATGAAAAGTCTGTATAGTTGAGGTCTTGAGAGAGAGAGCAGATTGCTTTTCTTCTGTACTTACCACTGAGAATAAAACGCCTACTTTCCTGGCTCCTTATATGTCATCCATACGACATTTTAAACTTGCATTCTTAGGAAGCTTTTGCTGTGGACACCTTCTGATAGATTATTCATAAAATTAACAAAAGAACGAAAATTGCCATGAACACAACTCAGCTTAATACCTAGAACGCCAGAACGAGTATCGAGTTAACTTTTCGAATTTTCTGGAGAAGCCTGCCGACAGCCACTCCGCCACAGTTAAAGAACTCTAACAGTCCGCTTTTTCTTAACAGTAATGAAATCTGGTTGTTTTATCCATTTTAAGTTAATGTATGTAAAACGAAGGAGTATTTTTAAAAATGACACTAACACAAGTTAGCGGTGATTTAAAATCAAGGAAATGGTTTAGGCATTTTTCTTTTTTTGGCCATGGCATGGGCCAAGAAAAATGTTTGTTCAAACAGAGGATTCCCCTCCCCTCACTCCATAGGCCATAATTTTTGTAATGGTGGGTCCTATATTTCAAACTTGTGTCTCCTACCTAGACCCTTGAACCAAAAGTCCTCGTTTGGAACCATGGCCTCAGTCTCTGAGCCGTGCAGGACCTTCGCAGGGCATTGCGAGAATATAGCAGAGAGCATCTCGAACATTTTCGCTGGTTTGGAATACGTACCTCTAACCACACCCGGCGTAGCTAATCGAATTCAATCGAACTTAATTGAACTCAATTTATGGATTGAGTTCTTTTGATTCGGTAATCGAACATAATCGAACAAGGAAATTTTCTGTGTGTTTCGATTAACGAACTAATCGAACTCATCGATCGAATTAATCGAACACAATCGAACAGAATCCATGAAACACGTTCGATTGCCGACTTGGCAATTAGGGGATTGGATGAAATTGATCCGGGAATTGAGCGCAAATTCTGGTACAGCTACAAAATCATCCTATCAAACACAAAATGTTGACGCGCTTTTAATTATTGAGCAAATCAAAGTGTCAACAGTAACAATAACAACCTGACTATTAATCTTATCAAAAGTAGGTACAGAAACAACCAAGGTTAAAAACATCGGTGTTATCAATAATAGCTTCAACTAGAACGGACCCGTCTTTATCCCTAATTTATCTCTTGGAAATTACTTAGTTCTCTGGTCAGGGTGAGAAATGCTACGATCTCAATGCTTTACAACATTTTGACAGCTCGAAGTGTGGTTCCAAAATCACCGACAAAGAAGAAAGAGCTGTATTGACGGTATGTACACACCTGGCCAGTATTCCAAGGCGTATGGAACCCGGAATGGAAGCAGCAAGACCCCAAGAGGATGGGAAAGAAGCAAATTCTGTTGTTAAAAAATTCATAGTTAACGTGCGTGATGTTCTTTATTGTTTCTTAGGCGTCCAATATAATGCGTGCAGCTCTTTTTGCACCCGTAAGACTCTTTCTGGCTAGCAATTCCTTACTGCAATTAAGATGACCAGATTGGACTGAGGTAAAACATAACTGGCTTCATAACAGCGAGACAGAAAATAACTACGTGGCTTTGCGTGAGATAAGGACTAATATGCCTCAAAAGTCCAAGTCGTTTTGACAGTTTCTGATAATTTCTTCAGTAATAGATTGTGATCGATTACTTCAAAGGCTTTACGGAAATCAACATAAACTAGTCGCGTGACTTCATCATTATCCATTTTAAACAAAATTTCGCCTTCATGATTCTGATAAGTGCCGTTTCAGTGGAATGACTAGAACGTACTGGAAGGCTGATTGTAATTCATACAGCAATTTGTTCTCTTGAAGACATTTTAATAGCGAATTTGCTACATTTTAGCGATAAAAGAGTTACTTATAATCCCGTCATAGTGATATAATAAACAAAGATTCAATTTACAGGATAGGAAAAAAAACTTCTTACACACAAGCTTTCGATTCCTTCGCGGAATCTCTATAATTTTGCTACATGTTTTTCGAGGATTTTAGATGGGATTGGTAGCAATGATATGGGGCGATAGTTGTTTCTTTCACGTTGCTGACCACTTTTGTGCAGTTGTTTAACTTGGCCGATTTTCCATTTATCAGGGATTGATAAGTTCAGTCGATCAGGACAAACGAGTTCAAGTCCGGCCCTCACCGCTAACTCGAGTCCAGATTTTTGAAAAATAATCGGCTAAGCTTTTAAAGGGGCTAATAGTATGTTGTTTCATCTAATCTGATCTAATTGATGGTAAGAAGCGCGGTAAACAGTATACGAGGGAGAGACCCAGTGAACATTCATCACGTCTATTTATACGATTTCTCTTAGCGCTTTCTCGATCCTCGCGCGAGCCTCCCGACAGAGTCACGGACTATTGAAAGAGCAAATGACACCACGTGATGTAAATAGAGGTGATGATTGGCTATGATCGTGCTTGACTTGGCGCTGGGCCCCCCCCGTGTCGTATGCAATCAACGAGATAAATCAGGTTTTTAGAGCCGTTTAAGGGGTCATTTATTCGTCTGCATTTCTTTATGGTATAAACCTGTTTTTTCAGACAGTTGTGATAACATCCACCAACCTGACTGAGTAATCGTAATCGGGCTTCTAGCCTCTTGACATGACAGCAGCAAATAATTTCCTTTTAACCCATTCGCCCCTGAACCGCCCGTAACCGCCCGTGCGGATCCAGGTCCTTTCTACCCATTGTGACGTCATCAGTTTTAACGGTCAAGGACAACTTTCTTCACTAACTTGTGCAGAGTGAAAAGACCTTTCAAACCATACCAGAATGAGCACAATTCAGTCAAGGACACCGGAGAAACAAGCAAAAAACCACGTGACATTGACCTGAAAATCTCCATGAAAATCTTGTCCCATTACCCACCTACCTTTCCTTTCGCCTAATCCTAAGATCCTAAAAGCTTTCCTAAAAACTCTTCCCACCAAAATCAAGCCTACTAAATGCCCAGCAAGAGAAAAAAAAAATGAGGCAAGAAAAGCAAAAAAAGAAGGGAGGAGAGAAAGCGAAAAGTAAAAGTCAAGACTGCTGTGTCACTTTTAAACCCAAAAACTATGTCGAAATTTTGCTTTCTGCGCATGCCCGAACTTCGCAAGCTGATATTTTGCATCTGGATCGGAAGACCGCGAAGTGTTCGACCTGTAAACCAGTTTGTGGTAAGTTTTAGCTCTTTATAGCACGACAGTGACCAGAAAACCACTCGACTAGCTTCAAAACGCGTTTTTCGGCAAAATCTCTAGGAGCGAATGGGTTAAGCAAAGGACCAAGCTTTTTGAAAAAAATCCACTTTTCAGCATAAAACAACCAAATCTGTCTATTTCATGTCAAATCAGGTGAAAAAGTTGGTAAAAGGCCATTTTTAGGTTTTTTGATTAAGGAAAAAAACACAAGGATATCTATTCAAGCTTGTTCACTTCTAATTTTGTACTTCACATAATCACTAATGCTTTTAGAAAGCCTCACCTCAACTCAGAGCAACTTGCACGCAACCTTCTTTTGACTTTGTTGTCTCATCGTTCAACCGATCAGGCTGTAAAATGCACGTTTTGAAGCTTTTTTTATTTGTTTGTGTGTTCCTTATTTTCTTCTAGAGTTTTTTCTGGGAAGGTCGTGAATGTATCTAAGTGCGCAATAATATAAGAGAACTCGGTATGACTCTTCATTTCAGCACATTTCAGTAAATTTGTAGAAAATTATTCAATTGCTCGTGATACCGTGTCACGAAAAACATAAATATATACACTCACGTATCACTGCATAAATTACATAGATAATTAATATCACGTTTATTCCATAAATAACAACATACGTTCACTTTATTGTATGACGTACTCTCATGTTTCGTGACTTTTACTCCGCCCCTGCGTGAAGAATATAAGCAGTGCACAGAAGTATTTTTCAGAACGTAGCATTTGCCTCGAGTAGAAGCATGGCCGTTGTTCAACTAACGACGTTGTTAATATTCTTTTCGTGTCTCTCTCTCGTCCCGGCCGTGACTGTGTCAACAAAATATGGAGAGATCGAAGGTCTTATAACCTCATACCCGAATGCTTCTGGTCAGTACAAATCAATAAGCAAGTTCTTGGGGGTTCCTTTCGCTGCTCCGCCGATTGGAGAGCTAAGGTTTAAAGCCCCACAACAGCCGAATGGATGGAAAGGAGTTCGCCAAGCAAAGAAGCATGGAGGCATCTGTTGGCAGGGTCAATTGCTTGACTTATTTACGAAAATATTCGACCCCAATTTCACATACAGTGAAGATTGCTTGTACCTCGATATTTACACCCCGAACGTCAATTTGAGTTTGCCAGTGATGGTTTACATTCACGGTGGAGGTTACGAGTTTGGTACCGCAATTACTTATCCCGGCGATCATTTAGCCCTACACGGAGTTGTAGTTGTAGCGATAGAATATCGTCTTGGTCCATTTGGATTTTTGACAACCGGAGACTCCGTGTCCCCTGGAAATTATGGAATGTTGGACCAGGTGGAGGCAATGAAGTGGGTCAAAGAAAACATCAAGAATTTTGGCGGGAATCCCGACAAGGTGACCATCTTTGGAGCTAGCTCCGGCGGAACAAGCGTTAGTCTCCATCTCCTGTCACCTCTATCAAGAGAACTATTCAACCAAGCCATTGCAGAGAGCGGTGTTGATCTCAGCCCTCAGGCATTTCAGCCAACATCCTTTGGTGTCCGTAACGCTAAGGAGCTTGCTCGAATTTTGGACTGTCCTACGACAGACCACAGTGCAATGGTTACCTGTCTGCGCAAGAAAGAAGCCCAGGACATACTGAAAGCCTTAAAATCAACGCGATTTGAAATCGTGGATCCCACACAGTGGGGTCCGGTGGTTGACAAAAACTTCCTTCATGACACGCCCCAGAAACTGCGAGCGACAAGAAACTTTAAGAATGCGACTTTCATGATCAGCTTTAACAGTAACGAAGGCGGAGGAGCTTTGGGGATAATGGCGAACATGTCTTATATGGGAATCATGGAGAGTGTGGACAATGGAGTGAGTCCGGATTTCTTCAAAACGTTTCTCAAGAAATACGCCTATGTTCGGCACAGCAGGTTAGTAAAATTAACATGTCTATGATTCAGGGCCTTAGCTTCCTAAAACAATTATTCAGTTTAACGTTTCATGGTTGAGAAAGCATATCCCTGAATGAAGGAGATGTTTTCTGAAGAAACATTTCATGAAAAATGCTGAAAATAGATTTTCAGAGACTCCAGATTTCAAACTTTTCTTGTCGGTGTGGTGGGAGTGGGCATGCCCTCAGACCACCCTACTGGATGGTGCCTTTGGCAGTTACAGATCTTTCGATTCGTTTGGGTCGGCTTTTGTTTTTTTGACAGAATGTTTAGGTACATTAAAAACTTCATGGCACCTTTAGTAGTCTTCTCTACTCAGTCATTAAATAACAATAACTTTTGGCAAACTTAGTGATCAACTACAATGAAAACCTTACAAAACACTTAATACGCTTTCGTCCTTTTTCAGTAAAAAGACAGCCGATGTCGTCGCGGACGCCATGGAATTCATGTACACCCCAAGGCCTGACACCAGTAATAGGTATGCACTGAGAAGCCAGCTTGTTGACCTAATCAGTGATTACTACTACTTTGCTCCCAGTCACAAAGTAGCCACCATTCACAGTCAAGTTGCCCCGGTTTACATGTACGAGTTTGCTCACAGATCAAAGTTCAGTTTCACACCCGAGTGGATTGGTGTCGACCATGGCGTTAACGCAGCCTATGATTTTGGATACCCTCTGGTACCTATATGGCCCTTCCAAGACAGCCAAGCTGACAAGAATGTCAGCTTGTTCATCATGGCGGCGTACGCTAACTTTGCCAGGACTGGCAATCCGACAGCGCAGCTGGTCAGCGGTGTTGATTGGGAGAACTTTAACTCCACTCACAGAGCGTACTTACAAGTTAGCGTAAATCCAAGTATGGAATCGTCATTTAATCCTCGTCGAATGTCTTTCTGGAACGATTACTATCCTAAGCTGCTGCAGCTGAAATTTAGTACCAAAGAAGACGTGGTCAGCGGTGTACATCGCGTTACGATGGAAGCTCTTGCCCAGATTGTATGCTTCCTTATTCTGATAGTATTGTAACTTTATTTAGCTAACCGAAAACAGGAGCCCATAACCCTGCCGAAAACGATAGTGATGAAGTCTTTCCCCTTTTTTTTTTTTTTAAAAAAAAGAAAGAACAACTAACTGATTTGTGAGTAGCCAAACTGTGAAATATCTCGTCCAAGCTTCACTCACTCACCACCTTTTAGCCTCTGTTCTTGATCCCCTTTTTACTTCCAATAGAGAAATAAATCTGGCCGAATTTTCTTCTCCTCTTCCGTTAAGCATTTTTTTTCTGACAAAAACTGTCCAAAGTAGACAGTACAACAACTAAGAGTACAACCATTGCTTTTAAAAGAAAAAAAAATTCCTCCTTTCTTCCTCCCCGCTCTTTCTAATCATCCTGTCCTTTCCCTTTGCTAGTGCGATTTTCAGGCCAAAACCTGCCCTTTGGCCCTTTTTCAGGCAAACGGCTGTAATTCTCGCACTGTGTTTTTTTTCAAAAAATAGGCTAGACATATTTATTGCAATATGTTGTTCTGTTAGACCTGTAAAATGACTTACCCTTTATGATTATCGCATTTTCAACATATAATTATAAGCTTTCAGGGTTCTAAAGTTTGCAAAAGTAAAGTGATGACACAAATTAAAAGTTTCTCCCTCTCAGAAACATTCAAGAAGGAACTAAAGTCATGACTTATGGACAATTATTAATCGCCCAGAATTTTACGTTTTACAACACCATAACAATATTTTGACCTTTCGTTGTTATAATACTGGTACCCATTAGTTCTTTGTTTTTTCTGTGTGTATTATGCTACCTTCTGCACCGCACCAGATGAATTTTTTAATCAGACTGAAAACTTTGAGAGCATACTTATTAAATTCGGTATTTTAAAGCTTAATCGCTACGATGCTACAGGATTTCAACAAAAACAGAACATAAATCTGGACATCAAAACACCAGCAAAGGAGCACGCACGGCATTGTGGGATGTCCAATACGTATACTTACGAATAACTTAAACAACCTAAACATCCGGTTTTTAAACTAGTGTATTAAAATACACTACAGGAACCGTTTAATATTTTCGCTCTGTTCACAAGGTAATGACGAACCAGGTTGTTCAGTGGTTTTACTTTTTATTTATGCACCGAGCGCTACTTTAGGGAGGGGGAGGGGGAGGGGGAGGAAGTGGAATAAGGGAGAGGGGGGATTGGGGGGGAGGAACCCTCATAGGAACCCTCTCCCTTCTCCCTTTCGCGCTTTTCTCCCCCTCCCCTCCCATTTTTTGTGCCTGTCACGCAGGCTACGCTGAGTGTCTTTTTCCCCTTGGGAAGCAATTTTCACGCGCGCTAGAGGAAGTTTGCTCCATTTTCTTTTCGTGAAGAAAATGAAGAACTACGCGTAGCTTCTGCTTGATGATCAGATCACAGTTTAGTAGCAATAGGCTAATTTACCAACAGAACGGGAACGTCAGTTGACGACGGCGCGCGCAAATGCAAATCAAAGAAATGGCTTGACCAATGGCAGAGCGGCAAATTGAGCACCGGAAGTCGTGTTTAGTCCTTTTCGCGCGCTTTCCCGTCGTCAACTGACGTTCCCGTCCTGTTGCTAAATCAGCCTAATAACAAAGGGTTTACGGCCGCTTCCTAGTCATATTTCGGATACGCTTTCTATTTTGTTCTTTCCACACTCCTCTACCAATTGTTCACTCTCCTTTTTTCACACTCGAGAGGTAGAAGAAGAAGTAGTCGTCTTAGACTATACTGTTTACCTTTCAGTTGCGGATCTAGGGAAGGATCTCGGAGGTCGACCTACGTATTGAAAGAAGCCCATCACCCAGATGGTGATGGGCTCCTGTTATTGGTCAAACTGGGGCCCGCAGGGCCGACAAAAAATACTTTCGAGGCCTGCCCCCCTCTTTTCCTAAGGACTTGATGCGCCCCCCTCCCGCTAACTTACTTAAAGATCTGATTCCACCACAGTTTATTGTTGTTGCTCTTCCATTCGAACTGATTTTCCAATGAGTGTGTGTTTTGTTTTGTTTTTGCTACTTTTCAGCTTCGATGTAATCAGTAGAAATGGTTTCGCGTCACGCAATGATTTTAGTGTGATTTTTTTGATATTCGAATACCGACACTTGACCTCTTAAAACACTTACTCATCTCCAGTCAGTGGGTCACTTATAACACTGATTTTAATATCCCGGGGGGTGTTCCTGGGAATTCTTGGTGGAGGTGTGTGCCCGGTTCTCCAAATCCGGACCCCTTTTTAGACCAAAAAGTGTTATTTTTCACACCGTTTTCAGACCTGGCTTCTAAGAAATCATATCATCATTACTTAGATAAACAGAATTAAAAAATCACTGAAGACTTTGTAAAACCCATTTCGAATTCGCATATTTCTCTTTCTTTCTTACTCATTTGGGATTGAAACGATAAATGCATTGTTCCCTCGAAAACCATACCCGATTCTAGACCAAAATGGGCAAAGTCAATACCCGTTTTCAGACCAAAACGGCGCACCTACCCTTTGGGACAGCACAAACCCGATATGGCTTATATAAAGGAGTACCCCTTCCCCCCCCCCACCCCCACCCCCCGAAGCATATTTATTTCCAGGTCTTTCGCAATCGCTCATAACTTCCCGATTGAATTTATGAGCAAGTTTGTTTTAGTCTCTATAATTCTAGAAGATCGAGGAAGTGCCATGACATCACTCACAGCTATTTTCATATTCTGTGCATTTTTGCCTTGCGTTCCCTCGGTTATAGTGTCCACCAACTACGGAAGTATTGAAGGTCTCGTGACATCGCATCCGGATGCCTCTGGTCCTTTCAAATCCGTTAGCAAGTTTCTTGGCGTTCCTTTCGCCGCTCCACCGATCGGAGAGCTAAGATTTAAAGCCCCACAACCGCCAAAGGAATGGAAACCAAAGGTTTATTCGGCTAAAACGCATGGAAACATCTGTTTGCAGATGGGAAGCTTTGCATTCTATAATGAGTACCTCAAATTGTTTACAGAAAGTCCTGTCTACAATGAAGACTGCCTTTATCTTGACATCTACACCCCGAACGTAAATTTGAGTTTGCCAGTCATGGTTTACATTCATGGCGGGGCTTACGAGTTTGGTTCAGCTGTGACATCCCCTAGCGATATATTGGCATTACAAGGGTTGGTAGTGGTTATCATACAATACCGCCTTGGGCCATTTGGTTTCTTGACGACCGGGGATTCGGCTGCTCCTGGAAATTTTGGAATGCTGGATCAAGTAGAAGCACTAAAGTGGATCAAGGACAACATAGAGAATTTTGGCGGCAATCCCAACAAGGTGACCATATTTGGACAAAGTGCCGGCGGAACTAGCGTAAGCCTTCATCTGATGTCCCCCCTCTCAAAAGATCTCTTCCATCAGGCTGTCGCAGAGAGTGGAGTAGATTTGAGTAGCTTTGCGATTCAGCCAACTTCATTTGGTGTCAGCAACGCTGCAAATTTAGCTAAAAAACTGAGCTGTGCTGACCAAGACCAAAATGCTATGATAAACTGCTTACGTGAAAAAGAAGCTTCAGATATAAAGAAAGCTGCCGATTCAATCGCCGCAGACGCAATTGCAAATACCCAAAGTTTGCCCGCCTATCTGACCTGGGCGCCCGTTGTGGACAAAAACTTTCTTCATGACACACCTCGAAATTTGCGATACAAAAGGAATTTTAAGTCAAAGCCATTCATGATCAGCTTTAACAGCCAGGAAACCGCGGAGATTGTTGGAGTTTTATCCAACAGTTCGTCCTCTGGAGTAAGCCCGACCTTTTTCAAAACGTTAATCAAGGTGTTTACTCATTCTCTCCAAAGGAGGTAAGATAGAAGTTGACATCAGTCGTTTCTTACTCTTTCCGGGTGTTCAATCCAACACTTTTCCCTCATGTTGCGCCGTTTACAATTTACACTCAAAAGATCCCCCTAAATGACGGCTACGGCATCACAATTATGTTTTTAATTAAGCCCTCTTTCCACTCCGAGCAGTAAAGAACCACTGTTTTCTTCAAAAAACCTTCATATTTTTATAGTGGCCAGGGTTAAAACACCTTATATTTAATTATAAAATAACTAAGATAGCACGCGCGCTCTGATTGGCCGAGAGGAGTGTTGGCATGAGAGTATGTAAACATGGTCGTGGCGTCAAGATGCTTTGCTTTTCGCGCGCTAATCACGCAAGCACGAATTTGAAAAAGTTTTCAAGTTCAAAACTCGACAAGTTACTTTATTTACCCATTCCTTCGTCGGCTGAAACTTGGAAAATCGTTACAAAGAAAATGTGGCGTTTTTTTTTTTTCCGCTTAAGCTGTCATTTTAAGCGGAAAAGTCCATATTTTGGAAAGCATCTTTTTGCAAAACAAGCTGATTACGCGTGCAAGACTTCGTGGATAAGACTTTTCGACTGGTAAGAATTTCTCTTTTAATCAGTGCCATACAAAGAGTTTTGCGTTTTTTCTCGGGAAATTTATTTTATAAAAGCAATAGAAAAACTATTTTCCTGTGTTTGGATAGCCTGATATATACACTCGAGGCGTTGGGAGAATTCTCGACAGTTACGCAAACCCTCGACTTCGTCTCGGGCTTGCATAACTGTCTCGAATTCTCCCAACCCCTCTCGTGTTTATATCGGGCTATGCAAACGCGGAAAACGGTTTCTATTGCTTAAATAGCGTAATTTTTTAAATCATGATCGACGGTCTAACCGCAACATCAAATGTACTTTCTAGAGTAGAGCTCACTGACCTCATCGCCGACGCCTTGGAGTTCATGTACATCCCATGGCCAGACAACAGTGATAGATATGCGCTGAGAACGCAACTTATAGACCTTCTCAGTGATTACATCTACTTTGCACCTAGTCACGAGGTCGCTGACATTCACAGTCAAACTGCCCCTGTGTATATGTACGAGTTCGCTCACCGCCGAGTGAAGTACAATCAGAACCCTACCTGGATGGGTGTGGTCCATGGTGATAACGTAGCGTACGACTTTGGACTTCCC